CAAATCAAAAGTTGCAACCGCCCACACTGGACTTATAAAGGTACTTGTAAAGATAGTGATCAGTTAACTAGGGTGTGATAGATGTAATATAGTGTTAATACAATGATACAGAGCTAATTCAGCAACAGTTTTAAAGCACTGAGACCAACAAGAAAATGTATTATAGTTGTTTTCTTTTGGGTTTTTTTTTTTTCTTTCATTTGAAATCAAACAGAAAGGTATAGTTCCACTTTGAAATCCTATTTTTCAAGCTCAGCAAACAGAAGTATGTTATCCACCAATAAGCATCACATAAAGTTCAAGAAGCAGCAAGTTACACAAGAAGTTAGATTATAGCAACACTAGGCACAAAATAAACCTTACAATAATAACAACAAATAAACCGAAAAAAAAAAACACCACTGGCCAAAACCAATACCAATACAATCACCACTGGCCATATTTGTATAGTAACGAGTGTGTTGGGTCATTCTATAAACTATTGCATCAATCAACAAATTTTTCCAATAAATACGACCAATTTCTAAATTTGCAGTATGTCAATATATATATACAATACAACTATAACTATAAGAAATCCATTAAGACCAAGTAATACAAAGAAAGTTTGGGTTGAGATAGATATATACAAACTTGTAATTTATAAGCAAAACCTGTCTAATATATCAACACATGGGTTTTATGCATACCCATATATCAACAAATATGGGTATATATATATATATATATATATATATATATATATATATATGAGGTAGGATCCTTTGACACCAGTGTCAAATTTGAAATTTGACATCTCATCTGAGAGTCATTAGATAAAAAAAGATCAACAACTCTGATTTGTAAGCACTGGTGTCAAAGGATCCTGCATACATATATATATATATATATATATATTGTCAAAAGTTCAATAGCACTTCACTCATTCACGTAATGGTGGCAGCCCCTTTACACACATAAGAAGAGTATATAGGATATTCATATAAAGTTCAACATATGGTATACTTTATGCATCTCATACATTATTTTCCAATCACATAAACAACTTCAAAATTTTTTTTCCAAGGAATTTAATTGAAACATAATAAGGTTTCACACATTTTCATCATAAATCAAACTCAGCCATAACATATTATAGTTCATTTAATTCTACAATCCCTCGTATATAATTTAGAACAGCGCAATTACCCATATAAAGTAGTGTATAGGTCGAACATTCAAATTCAAAACATACATTGCACCTTAGCCATCAAATAATATCCTTCCAACCTTTTATTCGTAAAAAAATAAAAAAATTAACTTTACTAGATTATCATAATAGTAGCTTAGGGCATGTTTGGTGTATAGTATAAAATAAAGCCTGGTAGTGTAAGACCTGATTAAATTTTAATACTATCCAGTGTTTGGTATGATATTGTATAAGATAATATCCAACAATATTTTAAAAATTAATATATTAAATTTTTTTATTTTAATATATAAATATTGAAATGATATATTAGTTCTTAGGAATTGTACTTGTAAGCAATATTAATACATCAACCCCTTATCAGGCCTAATCCACCACTCCTAGGCCGGATTAAGTTATAAGAGGTCCTGCTGTATAAGCTTATACTATACGATGGTCACACCAAACAACTGAAAATGTCAAACAACTGAAAATGTCATAACGTATAGTATAAGCTTATACTATCAGACCTTATATATCACACCAAACAGGCCCTTAATTATAATTTTTCAAAATGTGGAACAAATAATATGCTTTGTGCCAAGTAAACAATGAAAAGTAGAATGACTAACTACCATATATATTTAAATAACTATAGCTTAAGGTACACTGAGTGCATTTGTGTGAAATAAAATAACACGTTCATGAATCAAATTGTGCTTTAATTAAATCACTTGGTAACTCTCTCTTTTTTTATTAAAATCAAATACTGTCATTTTTATTTATTTATTTTGAATATGGTCACATCACTTCTATACCCATATCCGCAAGTTGGAACCATAAAAAAAAATGATTTTTTTTTTCATAACATTGAAATGGAAACGATTTGATTGAGCACTTTTAATCAGAATATAAAAAAAAAATCTTACCTTGTGATCCTTTCCATAACCATGGATGTGGTCGTCTATCTTTGGTAATCATCATTGTCACATTCGCATGTTGTTGGTCATGGTTGGTTATTGGCCTATGGAATCGCCGGAAGAAGCTGTGAGATGAGGCCCTGTTCGCCAGAAGTCAATACCTCTTTGCCTAGATTTGGTCTCTGCCTATATTTGGTTTTGAAGCAGCAAGGGAATAAATCGAAAAATCACAAAGACTCAATGGATTACATACTGGACTGAAAGCTATAAGCTTTTTCTTTTGCTCGGTTTTGTTTGGTAAGCGATTTGGTTAAGAGATTAAAATCTTAGATGGCAGAGATAGTGGTGCTAATAAAGTGTTGTAAAATTAATAATAACTAGAAGAGAAAGAGATAAAAGAGATAGACTCAATGAAGTATTGCCATATCGCGGGAAACATGAAAGTTACAACAACTGAAATATTCTTCGGAAAACATAAAAGTTACAACAACTGAAATATTCTTCAATGGTCATAATATCTTCAACCGTCACAACGTCTCCGACGATCATAACGAATATGGACAACCGATAAATTGTTTATAACAAAATATATATATATATATATATATATATATATATATAAAATTATAAATAAATATGTATAATTAATTTAATGTCATTTGGAAAATATAGATTTAAAAGCATTAAAATCATAAAAATGTCCATAAATAATTTAAAATAAATTGAATTTGTTTTTTAAAAAATATAATGTCATTTAAAGAAAATTAAGAGATTAGATTAGTTAAAAAAAGTAATCAAATGAATATATAAAAATAATTGAACTTGTTATCAAAAAAAAAAAAAAATAATTGAACTTGAGGTGTATATTATTATAATAATGTTGTGCATTGCTATTAGGGGAATAAATAATAAATTTACGCTCCCCAAGCTAGACATGTGAAGCGAACAAACTTTTGGTACGGTCATATGTACAACTTCCATTTAAATTTTGTCATTTGGATTATTATTTTTTTTTTATTTTTTATTTTTTTTTTATCTCAGTTTTACATTCTCTCTACATTTTTTATTGGTGCTCTCCATCGAAAAAAGGATACCACTGTTGTACCTTAGAAATTTCCATGTGAAGCGCATCAAAGGTTGACAGGTAGTCAGTCAGTCACACAAACGGCCCAAAAAATGGAAATATTTATTATGGTTCAGGATCACCCAATTATCTGGTGCTCCCTCTCACATCATCAATTTTTTCTTTCTCTTTTTACTCCTACTATTTTTTCTCTTTTCTTATTTTACCCCTTCATTTACACTAAGAGACCACCTAAAAATAGTGGTCCCGATCACAATAAATAATCTCCAAGAAAGTTATGCCGCTATTTAATTTTATTTCATTTTTATTTTTTTTTGGTATCCTAATTCTATTTCATCTTATTCATATTTTTTTTTTTGTTTCTGTAACTTAATTTATTTCTATTTATGCGTATTCAGGTACTATACTTGAACGAACATTCAATTAAGTGCCGAGCGGCTACTATGCAACGCCACACTGAATCACACCCCTCAACGGTAACCATCGCTAATTAGTCGTTAGCTGATTGATTGTCTACCAGCTAAGCATGAGATAGTATTGGTAGTCCTTAATGTCCACAATCCATATAATTAATCATGCTGTGAGATGGATCTTCTATAATTATATTCTGTGTGAAAGATCTCAATTAGTTATTTATATATTAATAGCTAATAATCAAAATGATAATTTTTACTTTTTTGTTTTAAAAATTCCTTAATTAAAACTATAACCATTAATCTGTAAATTAATGATCAAGAATCTTTACCTAACATAATCATACAACGAGAAAATATATTTTCTCCGTGAATAGACGATATTTCAAATAGGAATTGTTATCAGAAAATATAAAATTCTTTAAATATAATCACGTGCGAATATCGATTATGTCGTTTCGGATGAGATACAAATATCTCAAACTATGAGGACAATTCCTGAATAAAATATGAGTTTTATAAAAGTTATGTCGTAGGAAAAGTGATTGTGTTATGTTATAGAGATTCGTTTTTCGTGTCGTAATTTTTTATTTTTTTTTGCTTCAAAAAATGTAAACCCCACAAAATATTGTGTGTGTAGGAAACTTTTTGTTATTATGTTAATGATGAATGCTAATCCCGTAAAGTATTCCAAAAGGTTTCACACCACTAATTTGTATAATTGAATAAGTTCAGCTTGAGTTGAGGTAATCGAAGTTTGGTTCAGCTCAAGTTATTTACAATTTTAACGAATATAAAGAAACAAAAACTCAAATTCATCACAGAATCCATACAGGATCATACTAACACTCTTTTATGCATATATGAAACTCAAATTCTTTATACAAGAGCTTGTGCTTTGTTAGTTTGTTTCACAAAAAACAAAAACAAAAACAATGACTTTTGCACACTTTTTTTCCTCTTTCAAAATTACATTTCTAGCATTTTCCGCTAGATAAATGATTCATATAGCCAATTGTATAGCCAGGTCCTCTCGCGGGCTAGCCAGGTTACATGTGGTTAGCCCAATAGGCCTTTTGTTTATTTCTATTCGGGTCCAAAAGAGAAGGCCCAACCTTGATCCAATAAATTACTACTACTTGTATACTCATAAAAAATTTGCTATAAACTCGAGAATCTTTCTGAAAAAACATCATGTATGCTTTAAATGTTTTTGCTTTTTAACAGAAGACCTTCTCACTTACATAAGCTAGCAAAATTTTTTGAAACCAGTAAGAATCAATAAAACTGCTATCAATTATGCATACGGAAGAAATTTGCAAAAGTAAAAAAAAAAAAAAAAAAAGTATAAATTTCATATAGTGGTAGTCTAGTAGGATTGCTCCAACATTCGTTATTTTCTGTGTTTTCCCTTTAACTTTGGCTAACATCGGATGTAGTAGTCAGAAATTAGTGATTTGAAATGGTACGAGCATGTAAGTTGAAACGCCAGAGCATGATTTTGGAGCAGCCCTCTGGTGGAATTCCCTTTAACTTGGCCTCATCTTCTAGAACTACTTGCTTCACGAACTTTATTGAATTCTAGGTAACCACAAAGAGAAGCCCAATAATAAGGACAAGAACAAAAAAAAAAAAAAAAAAAGCCATCGAAATTGAATGATAAACAATGCAGAGGTTCCTTCCACTTAGATTAAGAATCGAATTCATGATCAAAGGGTCACAGATTATAATATTATGTAAAAAAAATTAATTTAATCCAAAAGTTTAATTTAATAGGTAAAATTACATTAACAATTTTATATTATATTTCCTTTAATAAGTATATATGGCTTTAATATTTCTACATTGTAGATAAATTATCTACATTTGCTCTCGAAATGACATTGTTTGGATTGAAAAATTAAAAAATTATAATGAAAAAGACTATTATAACTCTGAAATAAATTATAATTACAAAACTACATTGATTTCCGTCTCACAACGACATCGTTTTGAATTCAATATAGATAAACTATTTACATTGACTATAGAAAAAGCAAACTCAATATATATATATATATATATATATATATATATATATATATATATATATATTGTCATTTGTCATTTCAAACGGACTAAGTTTTCTAATTGAGATAATATTGAAAGTGGGTTCAATCTTAGAGTAAAAGGAAACAGCATGCGTTATCTGTGATATTATGTAGGAGTAGAAAAAACTACATAGTTAGTATTCTGATTAGTTCATCGAGTCAATCAGGTTGTCATTATATTACCTAATATCTAACACTTTTTTCGCCTTTGATTTTTTCCTTTCTGGTGTAGTTGGAGGTTGGCCAAACGTTAACTAAACGTAAGTAATATATCCATCTCCTATTTTAAAGTGAAGGCATGATCATGATCATGTTCATTAAAGTTAAGGTTTGGAATTTATCCATATCCTATTTTAAAATGAGTTTTAACAAAATTTTCCAATTGTTATTATTTTTTAGTTTTAAAGATAAAGTTTTATTTTGAAAAGACCAAATAGACCCAATCTAATTTTTTGGTAGATAAGCATTACGGTAAGGATTAGGGGTGTTCGCGATCTGGATTGGATCGGTTTTGGAAGCAAAAATCATTCGATCCAATTCCTTCGGTTTGGTCATATAATCATCCATTCGGTTTGGACTTTTTTTCAAATCCGATTCGATCCATTTTTTTTTGGTTTGGATTGGATCGGATTTCGATTTTTTGAAAATCCTAAAATTTGTTTCATGCAGATAACATCTTTTATATATATATTGGCTTTGTAAAAAAAAATTGAAATACAAAAGCATCAGTAAACGATAATATAGTTTTTTTGGGACAATGAGATATGAAGCTCTACGCAGATGAAATTTTGTTAATGAGAAGTAAATAGGTTTTTTCTTGGGTTTAGTTGATGGGTTAATGGGTCTTGGGTTTAGAAATTTTTGGATTACGATTGGAGAAAGACCAAAGTAAGTAGAGGAGAATTAATATATTGGATCGGTTTTCATTAAACAATCCGAAAACCGATCCAATCCAATTAAAAATTGCGGTTTTTTTTTGGTTTTCGATTTTTCGGTTCGGTCACCGCGGTTTGAATCGGTTGATGAACACCCCTAGTAAGGATGCCACTGGTGCTTTATTTTACGGGCGAAAAATAATTTAGATTGCAATTCATAAGGTATATATATATATAAGGCTTAACATTTCTGCAGCAGCCGTAGATAGTGTTATCTACAGCTGACACAGAAAAGTGGGCCCCACGGCTTTTAAAAAAAAAAAAAAAACTCAGGATCCGTTACCGTATCCTATGATCCGGACGCGGATCCTTGCTCGATGTAGGTACAGCAGCTGCAGAAATCATTTTATCATATATATATATAGGTAAAATGATTTCTGCAGCTGCACATACAGCTAGCCAGGATCCGCTTCCGGATCCTGTTTTTTTTTTTTTAAAGCTGTGGGGCCCACTTTTTATAATACTGTCTACGGCGGCTGCATAAACGATAAACGCGCGCGCATATATATATATATATATATATATATATATATATATATATAAATATATATATTATCATAATATTTACCTGAGTGGTGTCTTGAACAGAGGAAGTGCGACCCCATCTCTCAGGGTCCCATAGGATGGAGCTATTGAATGCAAAACTTGAAATATGAATGGGAGGAGTGATTGTGTCAGTTTCATTGTTCATATTCCTTAGATGCCAACCAATGACTTGTGATGAATCGCATACAGGTCCTTCGATTATCACTTTCTTCCTATTTGCTGCTAACAATGCCGTTGGCCATGTTCCAAAGACCCTGTTCAGTTTCCAAATGAATACATAATTAATAAGGGACATGGTAGAATGACAAATTACCTTGGAAGAGTGAAATTTAAATGCATGATTGTTACCATTGTTATTATCACTTGTATTTGGTACACCTAAAGATTCTTCCCCACTAGCCTTTTCTCCATAGATTTGAAAAATTGTTTATTTTATAACCTTCACCCACTACATAGATGTAAGATATAATAAAAATAAGCACTAGACACTAGGTAACACATTTTCTCTTTCTCTTCTCTGCTTATTCTCCTCACCCCATCAAAACAAAAATAAACAAATAAATAAAGAGGAGGGATATTCTAACTACCAAAATTTTTCACTACCAACTTACTACCTATCTAATCACCATTAGATTAAGATTTTCTCTCTCTTCAAAAACTTTTTAACATTCTCTCTCCTTGATCTAATGGTGATGTGATGGGTAGTAAGTTAGTAGTGAGAGTTTTTGATAGTTAGAATATCCTCACTCGTAAATAAAAGCCCAAAAGATTTATCAATGTAAATAATATAAAAATGGAACTAAAATTAGTGTAGCAAATAGAAGGGGGAAAAATCATACTCAATATCTCTAAGCTGTTGGAATAATTGGAGATCATAAACATTGGAAAGGCCAGCAAAGTGTACAATCCCGTTCAGCCTGTGGTGCTCAATGTGCTTAAGTGCAAGATTTCTCTGGTGATTTAGTTCAGCTTTTAAGTCTGTGAAGCTTTCCTTGAAAACCACATGCCTATACATGATGCCTGTTTTCCTTAGTATCTCTGAGAGTTCCGTGGAATCAGTTTTCGCTTCCACAACAATCCACAGCAATGGTTGAGGAACTAGCTTTATAGTATTTGCCAACCTTCTCAAAAACACTGCTTGGTAGGGAAGTTTCGTGCTTGTCGGAGTTACAATGATTATAAGTCTTCTGGGCTTCAACTGGGGCTGTGCTTTTACATGCAATTTCGTTGTTGTTGTTTTTTTGTGTGTCGGCACGGTCACTGGCGTTGGAGCTATCAAACTTTTATTGACATTTGTTGTCCGGGGAGACATTTCACTAGGTTGTGGTGCAAATTCTGTTGTTCTATTTGATGCAGCAACTTTGCTAGAAAAGAATGAAGATTTACCTGTTGGAGCTAACCCCGTAAAGAACCCCATCACAAAGCAGAGAGAAAAATGGAGCATGGCTTTCTTCCATAAATGAGTTTTCTTCTTTGATCTTTCTACTGAACCCATCTTCTTCAGGGTTGAATGAAATGACCAGTTGTTGTTGGCACAGAATGAAGAGGAAGAGGACCGTGTAATGCAATATAAACTTTGATGCTTTAAGGACACCTCATATTTGTTAAGGAAAACGTTGGAACTAATGAGGTTATGATTGGTACTACCAAACTGAATGCCTAGCTTTAGTTTTGGAGGTTTTTCATTGGTAATGGATTGCTTCACTTGGATGTCACTTGAAGTAAAAGTAATATAAATAAAAATAAAAATAAAAATGCGACCATGAGTTGCTATCTAACACCAAATAGCTGTTGGGATGGTACCCATCCATCTATCAACAATATTAGTGATTATGCCCATAGTGTTAGGGGCTTAATTATTAATTTGGGGTTGACCAGTCCAATAAAAGGAATCTAAGTAAAAAAAATTAATTTAAAAATGACATTGGGATCTATTGTCAGAATAATTATGATTTTGCTGAAAAAGAATAGGATTATAAAAGCAATTATTAGGAGCATAATGAATCTTTTGGAAGTTAGTTATGGAATTATTGTATTAGGGTGGGTGAGAAGTAACCTCTATAATATGTGGGTTTGGATCCTTCAAAGTTGTGGGCCTTTCCCACCAATGAATTTATTTTGTCTTGTTAACAAAAATCAAGTTTTGGGCTAAGATCCAAAGCATTACACATTAAGGAACATCCTTCACTTAGCCCCATCGCAAGATTTACATACAAACAGTTTTGTCTTCAAAAGAAGGGGGAAAAAAAAACTATTTGTTCTGTCGGGTACTTTTGCAAACGAAGCGAACACAAACAAGTATTGTTCTGTTTCTAATGTTTTGACTTTTGAGTGCAGTCAGAGTCGTTTATTAGTGTCTGTTTGTATGCAGAGACTACAAGGTTTTAGTTTCAGGTGCGTTATTTTCAGTTATCTTATTATGCCGTACGAATTTTTAATTTGGAAGGAAATGTTCACCGATGAATTTTCTCTATGTTTAATCGTTAAACTATTTTCATATATGTCATTGATGAGCAAGCACAGTTTTTCCAACACCTTGTGTTAGAATTTTAGAATGCACTTCTTTTGCATACTCGCTGTTTGAAAAATGGTCATCAAGAGCATGAAATAGCTGAATCATTGACATGCCTCGTGTTCATCTTACACGCATTGACATTTGAGAAGTACATACGAGGATTATGTTAGTTGCATAAATTTAACGATGTATAAGTAGAAAAAATTTATGCTTATCTTTGGTTCCTGCAGAAATATTTGATGATGGATTGGATGAAATTCAATATCAGTTTGATTGTCTAGTCAAACAATAAAGATAACATCTTTGACTATCGGCATGGCTCAACTGGTTGATGATGTTTCTGGATTTGTGGATGTCTTTTAGTTCATTTAGAGAACATCAAACTCTAATGGCTGCTGGCTCTTGAATTCATATAGATGTAGAAGGTAGATCAAGATGGAGGCTTTAGCCAGTGTACTACCTTATACTCATTCACTCTCTTAATTTATATTTGATACCTGGCTAAACAGAAGTTCTCCCAATAGGTTCATCCAACTATGGATTTTGTTTTTGTTTGTTTCCTTAATCAGAAACCCTCATTCGTGACCACTATACTGTCCTTAAACCATCTCACCCAACAAGTTTCTCAACTATAACAAGAGTTTTACATTGCATGTCCATGATCATTCGAAGCCAAATTCGATTTTTATGTAATTGTGTAAGACCTATTGTACAACCAACAATTTCCTCCAATCTCAGTACAGAGGTACCAAGCAACAGTTACATCAGCTTGATGTGCAAGCATCGGCATTACAAAGAAGCACTTGAAGCATTTGATGTCAATCTAAAGAAATCGAGCATACAGCTAGAACCAAGCACCTATAAGAATTTAATCTTGGCTTGCACCAACTTTAGATCTCTTGAATACGGCAGGAAAATCCATGATCACATTTTAAAATCCAGCTATCAGCCAGACATCATTCTCCAGAATCATATTCTTAATATGTATGGAAAATGTGGTTCTTTGAACGATGCTAGAAAAGTATTTGATGCAATGCTGCTGCGAAATGTGATCTCTTGGACTGTAATGATCTCTGGATACACACAGAACGGTCAAGAGAATGATGCCGTTATCATGTATGTTCAAATGCTGCGATCAGGTCATTTCCCGGACCAGTTAACCTTTGGAAGCATAATTAAGGCTTGCTACATTGCGGGGGATATAGATTTAGGCCGGCAACTGCATGCCCATGTCATTAAGTCAGGATTTGGGCGTCATCTGATTCCACAAAATGCTCTTATTTCAATGTATACAAAGTTTGGACAAATTGCACACGCCTCAGATGTGTTTACTATGATTGCCACAAAAGATTTAATTTCTTGGGGTTCCATGATTACAGGATTTACCCAACTTGGTTATCAGATAGAAGCTTTATATCTTTTCAGAGATATGATCAGGCAGGGTGTTTATCAGCCAAATGAGTTTATATTCGGCAGTGTTTTCAGTGCTTGCAGCAGCCTTTTAAAACCAGAATTTGGAAGGCAAATACATGTAGTGTGTGCTAAATTTGGTTTAGAGAGAAACGTTTTTGCTGGATGCTCCCTCTGTGATATGTATGCGAAATTTGGATTCTTACCTTCAGCAAAAATAGCATTTTATCATATTGAAAGCCCTGATTTAGTGTCATGGAATGCAATTATTGCAGCATTTGCTGACAGTGCTGATGCTAATGAAGCCATATCTTTTTTCTGTCAGATGATGCATGTGGGATTGATCCCGGACAGCATTACTTTTCTCTCCTTACTTTGTGCTTGTGGGAGCCCCATGACACTCAAACAAGGCATGCAGATTCATTCTTACATTATCAGGACGGGGTTCGATAAGGATGCAGCTGTATGCAACTCTCTGCTAACCATGTACACAAAATGCTCAAATCTACATGATGCATTTAATGTTTTCAAAGATATAAGCAAAAATGCCAATTTAGTTTCTTGGAATGCAATTTTGTCAGCATGCTTGCAGCACAAACAAGCAGGAGAGGCTTTCAGATTATTTAAACTAATGTTAATTTCTGAAAATAAGCCTGATAATATCACCCTAACTAACTTATTAGGAACTTGTGCAGAATTGGCATCTCTAGAAGTTGGGAATCAAGTCCATTGCTTCAGTGTTAAAAGTGGGCTTGTACTTGATGTTTCTGTCAGCAATGGCTTGATTGACATGTATGCAAAGTGTGGATCACTTAAACATGCTCAAGAAGTTTTTGATTCAACCCAGAACCCAGATATTGTCTCATGGAGTAGCTTAATTGTTGGTCATGCTCAGTTTGGACTAGGACATGAAGCTCTTAATCTCTATAGAATGATGAGGAATCTTGGTGTTCAGCCTAATGAGGTCACATATCTGGGGATACTCAGTGCATGCAGTCACATTGGATTGGTGGAGGAAGGCTGGCACTTATATAAAACCATGGAAGTGGAACTAGGGATTCCACCAACAAGAGAGCACTTCTCTTGCATGGTTGATTTGCTTGCTCGTGCTGGATGCTTGTATGAAGCAGAGACTTTTATTAAGATATCAGGATTTGACCCTGACATTACTACATGGAAAACTCTACTTGCTTCTTGTAAAACTCATGGTAATGTTGACATTGCAGAGAGAGCTGCAGAAAATATACTTAAGCTTGACCCTTCCAATTCTGCTGCCCTGGTGCTACTTTCTAATATACATGCTTCTGCCGGCAATTGGGAAGATGTTGCCAAACTAAGGAACATGATGAAGCAAATGAGTGTACAAAAGGTTCCTGGTCAAAGTTGGATAGAAGTTAAGGACAAGATCCATGTGTTCTTCTCAGAAGATAGTTCACATCCGCAAAGGTGCAAAATCTACACAATGCTTGAAGAGTTATGGTTGCAGATGCTGGATGATGGTTATGATCCTTGCCAGAGGTTAAGCATTAGCATTTGATGGGTAGTCTAGTTTGAAACATGTAGTTGAAGCTAAGCTGTTTCCAGACAAAAAGGATGATACAGGCTCCACTTGAACAAGATATACATCGCCTGTTAGCATTGTCTGTCTGGGGTATGCTTTTCCTTAGTTACATTCTTTTAATTCCATCGGTCCCTTTTATCTGGAGAAAGTTGTAAAATAGTTTAAATAAGGGAAAAAGTATCTAATGTTACTTTAGATAATTTTATCTAATGTTCACCAAAACGATGTCGTTTTCGGGTTAAAAAATTTAAAAAATAGAATGATAAATACTATTATAACTCTGAAATAAATTAAAATTACAAATACACCATGATTTCCACCCCAAAATGACGTCGTTTCGGTGAACATTAGACAAAGTTATCTAAAGTAACTTTATAAAAAGTAAACCCAATAAATAATTAAGATTAAGTTAGAAAACTATTTTAATAAAGATAAAGAGTGAGTATTATAAAACTTCTATATGTCCTAAAAAAATTCACTTTATATGTCAAATAAATTAATAGCTTATGTATATAAAGTTAAAAGTGTATCTAAATATTATTACTAATAAACAATGCAAAACTATGTCATATAATTACAAAACTTTAAAATATGGATCTTTCTATTATATTTTATGAAACTATAAGTATGTTTACGTTAGTTTATTTCACACTAGTATTTTTTTAACCAAAATTTATTCTTTAAATATTTTGATTATAAGTTTTTCTTAAAATTAGTAATTAAAGTTTATACTTAATATTTATGTATAAAATAAAAAAATTACCACCTCAAGTATTAAATTTAAAGCATCCATGTATATCATTTTTTTATTTATAAAATTGATAGTTAATAATATAATCAATTATTCTTAAAGTGATTCCGTAATTAATGATGGTATTAATAGCCTCTATCAGATTTCGTCATAAAACCCCAATCCATCCCTATAACTAATAGTTTTAGGCTTTAACTAATTACATTATTCTTAAACAAGTCATAAATCAATAATAACTAGAAACAATTGTTTATAGTTATTTCTGCTTATATACTATTTGATCCCTAAATCAAATTCTAGGTAGGCCATTTACCTACACTTCAGCATCTTTTGCAACCAAAAAAGTAAAAGAAAAAATTAACATAAACTACAAACTGCGCATATGTTCTAAGCAATGACTGCCCTGCCATTGGGTCAATCATCATTATACAGTGAGGAAGGAAGCAAATCAGAATAATGAATTTGGGCCCAAAAAAATCTTGCAACAATTCGCAATTGAAGGTCCAATTCTACAAAACAAAAATGAGCCGTATTACCATGGTTTAGACTTGTGTAGGCAACAATGTCCGCAACCGTATTGCATTCACCTAAAAGATGATTCTCTCTCGGCGACAATTGCCACCCAACCCCCTTCCCTTTTCATCGCGTTAACTACTTCTTTTGGGATAGAGAACAAAAAATCTTACTTAACACAATGCTGCCTGGCCTGTTAAGAAATAAACATTACCCAAATTTTCAGGGTTAAAAATATTCCCATTCCATAGGCTTATAGCTCTGGTTTGGTTGATATAGAATCTCTTTTAGGGCGGTGTTTCTTCCATTTCTTTTTGCGCAACTCCATGAGCCAGGATGGAACCTCACAGCCAGATGCTGCCATAAGATTAGCTACATTCCGCAGAAGCGGAATATCTTCTTCTGTGTAAAAAGTAATTGCTTCTCCAGTCCTCCCTGCTCTCCCAGAACGACCTAATGAAAAATCAACATCTTCTATTAGCAAAACAAAATCAATTTAACAAAATTTAAGGGACTTAAGGATATGATGAACGCAAGGCTCCATGAGAGACTATACAACTATTACCCATCTAAACATTTCTTCTCAAATCTAAAACAATATTCATATAACTGCACGTACCAATCCTGTGGACATATGCAGCAGCAGAATCTGGAAAATCATAATTGATCACACAGTTCACACCTTTGAAATCCATGCCCCGAGCCACTACATCAGTAGCAATCAGAACCCACGTTTTTCCAGCTCTGAAGTTATCAACAGCATTTTCTCGCTGTATACAACTCAGGATTAGAATAATGGAAATCACAATAACTGATAAAATAACAAGTATGCTTTAGTATTGGAGTACCTATTGCTAACGATAACTAGAGATTAAAACATAATTGAATATTAAAACAGGTTTGTCTTGAACAATATGATAATGGTGAGTAATAGCAGTCACAAGGAATACCATAATTTGACATCTCCACCCTACAACTAGCAAGGACCAGACCTTGATCACAAACTTCATCAGTTTTCATTTTTGTTTTGGTGTTTCTTGGAGGGGAGGGGGTATTGTTTCAGATTTTCTTCATATTTTCCTACATGAAACTTATGTTGTTCAAAGGGGCTGAGAACTACCTCTTCTTGAGACAAATCAGAATGGATGACATCAACTCTAATGTTGTCAAATGCAAGTTCACCGTACAACTCCTTGGCTCGCTCCTTGCTTTGGACAAAGACCAATACTGGAGGATTTAGACTCTACAAAATATTGCCAGAAAAAAAGTAGGTCAACAAAGGCACGCAACTAAAAAATACCACAACGAATAAGCTGATAGGAGGTGCTACAGTGTTACATGCCTTCCACAAATTCCAAAGGTATAAGTTACAGCGATGAGTATTCCAAGTCATTTCATATTATGTTCACAATACATTATGTAACCACTAAACCCAGAATAAACAGAATATCTGAATATGAGATTAATATATATGCAGCACACAATCAGCAACAGAAACATCAGACCACAAACAAGACAAATTAATAATAGGAAAATACATATTAATGATACATTGTGTGAAGTTTCTAATTTCTTTCAAACTTGTGAGACACACAAACTCTTGACGAATAAGAAAACCAGACCAACTAATGCTATTTATTTAAAGCATTCACATTAGCATTTTACCTCTGCAAAACTTTGACGAATTGCTAGAAGTTTTCCTTCTTCACTTCCGGTAAAAACCAATTTTTGCTTTATTGTTTCGGAAGCCATATTCCTGATACACATAAAAGCATTAGACATCAACTACAAGAATAATATGGAGGAAAACCATACTAAGGTAATGCTCAGGAGTCTCAAGTTCTGTAAATTTCTGCAATGAACTTACTTCCTGCCAACAATTACCCGAACAGCATCATGCATTAGTTCTCGAGCTCGATCTTCAACAAAATCAGGTAAAGTAGCACTGAACAGTGAGCGTATTATGGAGGGGTTCGAGCATGCTTTGATAACAGAATCAATCTGCTTGAACAATACAGGCTCAAATAGCTTATCGGATTCATCAAGGACAAGATACTCAACTCTGCAGAACCAAAAATAGTTGGAAGAAAAATATCAATGTATTGAGCTATTTAAATCACATCACATATCTATTACTGACTCTGTAGACACAATGTAATTTACAGCTAAAAGCATCCTGCAAAATTTTGTAATGCTTAAAGCATAATAAGTAGTTGACCTATAAAGTAAGCTACACCAACTGCAGTTCAACCATGGCATTTTAATTGTTATGCGCAATCAAATTTATCATTACATTACATAACCCCTAATTGAGGGCCAAAGGATACACAAAATAATTGTGGAATATTCAATACATATTGGGTTCTCCCAACTTGTATGAGAGCATTCTCCTTGAGAAATACTTTTATCATTACATCTCCCATGAGGCCTTGATGACTTAACACAAAGCAACTAGTCAGATTTTAAAAGAAGTTCTGGCTGTATGAGTCTATGGTAGTCAACTGACTGATCAACTTATTATTAGTGTTTGCTTACTTCATTTAGTACATAGGCTCAGATAAAAAGGAAGGTAATAGAGCAAATAGTTACCAGTTGTGCCTACTAGTCTGGGCAGGATTGAATTTAACCAGTAGCGGATACTATGACGATATACTTTGGATATAAAATTAGAAAAGAAAAAAGCAGGTCAATAGCTTATTGATCTTCAGAAACAGCCTACATTATAACCATAACTGTTTCCAAGTTGAATTTCATCACCAAATTAATGAAATTTATTTTGACAATACCACATGTAGCACAGAAGACTACTTCATATCAAAGTGAAGTGTAAACTTAAATAAAAAGCAGTAAATGGAATGAATACTAACAGGTAAAATGTTCCTCAAGGTTATCATATACACCATCCCAGGAAAACATTTATATCTAGTATGCAATTGATTGATAATGAACAAAGCAAAGTATAGTTCAATCAATCAATTATTTACCATCAGAGAACTACACTATAAGTGACACAGAGAGACCAGATGTAAAACATATCCACAAGCATTTAAGGTACTCCCTTTGGACCCAAAATGCATGTAATGTAATGATTAGTAGTTCAAGTATTTTAAGTTTAAACGAATAAGACTAAATATTCATCATCTCAAACCTGCTGAGATCAATCTTTTTCCTCCGGATAGCCAAGCGTAAACGAAGTGGTGTGGATATAAGTATATCACATGGAAATTTCGAAAAATCAGCATTTCTTACAAGCTGTTTAGTTATTAACTTGATATGAAATTTTTTGCCTTTAGCTAGCTTTTTGCACTCTCGATATGTTTGTGCAGATAATTCTCGGGTAGGACAAAGGATAACAGCTCGAATGCCACCTTTAGCTGGATCCTGTAAAACACAGTTGATTATAGGAACACAAGACATGGGAAGTTGCGGACTACTAATGCATATGGAGAAAACAAGCAATACCTTTAGCTTCATAAGTATGGGACACACAAATGCAAAGGTTTTTCCAGAGCCAGTTGGAGCACAAGCAAAGCATTCACGGCCCTATCCAAATAATTGAAAGAATATAGCAACAAAAACAATATTATGTTAACATCTAACTTGGGGACAATATCAAGTGAACATAAATAATGATCAAACTTCACTAACGATCTTCTGAAGATCAAAATACCAGATGCAAAATAATTATAGGACAAGTAACTTGATAGAAAGTACATACATGTAAAAGTATTGGGATAGCCTGCCTTTGGATTGGTGTTGGTTCTCTGAATCCAAGTTCTGCCAGATTGCGCAATAAATATGATCGACATTTATATCTGTAAACAATTAATTAAGATTCTGAACCATAGTGATCTTGTAATTTTAATGAGCAGAATAAATAACAAACATAATACAAGATAAATAGGATAATATTCTCATAAAAGATAGGTTAAAATATATTTATGGCTCCCTATACATTATACCTATTTTTTAATTAGGTCGTTATGTATATAAAAAAAAAATTCAATTTGGTTCCTACATGTACAATGGTTTTCAGTTTCGTCCCTAACATTTGTTGCCATTATAAGACTATGATATTAGCATGGAGTTCTAAGCATGGAGACCAAATTGAAAATGACAATAAAGTATAAGGATAAAAAATATAGTATTTATCCACCTTATAAGTGATACTCATTTTCAACTTGCTTCTGAAATTTACTGTATTTTTATTATAGTGACTAAATTGAAAATGAGTATAGGGATCAAAGATATATTTTAACCTAAAAGACTAAGAATACCTTGTTCTCAACTCATCAAAGTTTTGAAGCGGTGACGGCACATTATAACCAGAGACATGAATGTTGTGTTTCTTCCTGAAGATTGCATCGCGCTGAAAACATATCAAAATGGAAGTGAATGATGATAAACCATTGCACAAACTTAAGAACACTGAGAATAATGCATACTGAACAAAACGAAAAGGAACCTCAAGTTGCCTATTTAGTTCCTTCTTCTTATTCTTCAGCTGAATGGACTCATCATCATCTCGAACTTCATCGTTCGACAGTGTCTCAGATGTCGAATTTCTGAACACATTGAATCCTTCAATCGTTTCTTTCGTTCCCTTGCGCTTCCTCTTCTTCGCAGACGGTGCTCTCTCTTCCACTGCTTCTCTTGTTTTCTCGCTTTCATCTTCAACCGCATTCGAAATATTCACCGAGCTATCATCGCTATCTTTTTTCTTTACAATTATAAACCAAAAAATAATAATAATTAATATTTGGCATCAACTGTGGAAAAAAGAAGAAGAAGGTGAATAAGCGTACGGGAAGAAGAGAAAGAGAGAGAGAGAGAGAGAGAGAGAGAGATTGGTACCTGGAACCTGGCAATATCGGTGCTGAATTTCTTTCTATCGAAACGAATGCCGGCGAATAAAAACGACGAGTCGTTGGCCATTGTGATTGGAAGACAATAAAGCAATTAGGGGTTTGAGTAAGGAGGAATGAGTTCGCAGTTGCACTCTGCTTTCTTTTGCTGCGGCCGGCTACTTGTACCGTCTTAATTTTTGCGAAGGAAGGTAACTAGGCAAGTTTTCTTTTATTTTCTTTTATTTATTTATTTTTTTGCCCCTTTCTTCTGACAAAATAATGAACAAAAAATGACAAGTTGGACTTGATTCAGAATTAGCCCAATTTCATTGGGCCAAAAAGTTAAACCCCGAGAAAAGCAAAAAATAACATCATTCCCTTTTCTTCTCCATCAGTTTAATATTAATTAAAAAATAAATATTTAAAATAATATTAATATTTTTTTTGTTACGCGTATTTTTTTCATGTCATCTATATTACAAGGCTTAATACGAAATTGCGTCATCTCATTCCCATATATATTTCTCATTATTTTTTTAAGCGAATCTTCTAATAATATTTTTATTTATTTAATATAAAATACACTTTAAAATTTTATTTTATTAAATATATTCATTTTTTTATTTGAAAAATATATTATCAATATTCAAATGCTTAGCATGTGCACTGCTGGTAAAATTTGTCATTGCCTATGTAAGCTTAAAAGAAAAATAATTATTTTATTACGAAAAATATTATATGTTTCAATTTCAAGGAAACGACACTAATATATTATGAATTTTATAAAAACATAAACATTTATTATGCAACAATAAAATTAAATATTTAATAATTCAATAAAATTATCAGTATTCATAAAAATTATCTCAAAAATATATTTTAATTTTTAAAGTTTGATAAAAAATTATATTGATACATTAATGTCTATAATGAAAATTGTAAAATATAATGGTATTCGTAATAAAATTATGTTTGCCAATAGGATATATTACGGGTGTTCATTAACCGATTCAAACCGTGATAAACCGAAAAATTGATAATCGAAAATTGAAAAATCAAAAACCGAAAAAATCATATTTTTTAATTGGATTGAATTATTTTTTGATTTGGTTGGTGAAAAATGATTCAATCCAAACTGATCAAATATATTTTGAATTTTAGTTGCTGAAGAATTCAAGTGAGTGAGAGAAGTCCCATATTGGTTAAGAATTGACTAAGTGACCTTAAGGTTTTAGGTTTGATTGTATTGTTCCGACACTTAATGTTACTGTTCACTTTGACCATGGTTGACTCGCAAGTGGTATCAGAGCCAATGGTGGATTGGACTGTGGTGATTTAAGTATTTGAAGATATGGGAGACCAAGATCTTGATGAGTGTAGCCAAGTCTCACTGATTGATGAATTCCCTGAATACTCGAAGAAGCAGCTTCTGTTTGAGAGGGAAAGAATGTGGGCCTACGACTTGAGGGGGAGATATTAAGGAATCCAAGTGTGAGTGAGTGAAGTCCCACAATAATTAAGAATGGACTAAGAAAGCAAATGGAATAACCCATGCACCTAGTGCCTTAATGTTTTGGGTTTGATTGTGGTGTTCTGAGTCCACTTAATGTTACTGCTCACTTGACCCATGATTGATGGTCTCTCCCCTGCCACTGGCTCCCCGTGTACGGCCCAACATTTGTAATTGTGTATTCAACCATGAGAATTGATGGTTTGTGTTGTGTGTATATTTATTTTCAACTGAATTTGTCTCTTTTTAGTTATTGCGTAGAAGTTTGAAGGTAAACCTTACAGGTTGAATTCATGCAATTATTGTAGACTCACAATGGATCTGATTCTTAACTCCGACCTGCATAATAGCGGGAGCTTTGTACCACTAGGTTGTCTTTTTATTATTGTTATTATTAGGGATCATAATTTCAACTCACCTTTACCTCCTTTTCTCTCCTTCGAGATTTTGATTTAACAGTGTTGGAGATGATAAAAGAAATAGAGTAAGCATAAAAAATGATAGACATAATATCCTATTGTGTAGAAGTTGGTTGTGGGGATTTCAATGCCCCATGTCTGATGTGAAAATCTGGTTGTTTCTTATGGATATTGATTATGACCATGAGAAGAGAATGCTTGTGTTTGTTTAATCTTCTGTTTTAGGGGCTGGTTCTCGTTGAATTGTTGGAGGTCGTACTGAATTGTGAGTGTGGTTAAATGGGTCCTCGGTGAGATAGCTGCTTAGTAGATTGGTGATGTTTTTACTTTGGAAGTACCAAAGCAACATCATTGTCTTATTGGTGATGTTGATTGATAGTTGGTCTTTTGTTTGATCTGTGGAGGTTGATGCATGTAAGGATCGTAACATTCATTACTTGGTTATGCTGCATATTCTAGACCATTTTGGATCCATAGTCAGTAGTTGTCTTCAGAATGCTTCTTGTCATATATAAATGATAAATCCATGTTTTCTTCCCTAGAAATACCTCACTCCACTATTGAGAGTCTCCTTTTGTATACCATTATTTATTGTTGTTACTCTATTGGATTTCATCTTTATAGAGCCAATCATATCCTTCACCTCCCTCTCGATTTTCAGCCATAGCTTGCCTGAGACTCTACAAGGTGATTCCATTATTGAGTTCTAATTCGTATTATCTCACCGATTCACTGCTGTATTGACATACTAAACAAATCTACTCCCTAAACTCTCAAACCGATCAAGTAGTATATAAAGAATTCAAAAAAACAGTCAAAAAATTTATACCACAATAAAATAAAAATTTCCAAGTAACAAAATAACAATTGTCTCTGAAAGGGCACCAGATCGTCCTTTATTAAATTCATATATGGTTCAAATTATTGTACTGACAACCAAGTTGCTTTCAAAGTTGCAGTCATCCATTCCTCCAAGAGAGCATGATAGAAGAAACCTTGGAATTAACATCACTGTTAAAACTTTTAATACTTAGGCTTAAGTAACAACTAAGTTGCTTTTAAAGTTGCAGCCATCCCTGCCTCCAGTAGAGCTTGGTAGAAGAAACCATTAGCATGAAAGTACGAGGGCCAACATGTAGTGGGCAAGAATGAATCCATTTGTGTTTTTGCTACGACCATAGAACTGCGCTGGATACATGATATTTTAGGCTTTTTCTCTAGGACCTGCAGACATTCAATAACAAGGCTTAAACACTTCAAGTGGTTTTATGCAAATTAAATTAAATCAAAAGTCTCAAATACAAAAATATAATAAGGGTAGAAAGATTAAATAGGTAAGCAATATAACCGACCCCTGTATATATTAAATTTTTTATTGAACGCTATTTTTATAGCAATTAATAAAAGTAACTTCTTAAAGTATAGTTATTTTACCTATTTTTTTTTTTTTCTTATCTTTGTCTATCACTCTCCAATATCATTAGATCAGAATCTCAATAGGAGAGAGAAATGATAAAGTTAGTTGAGATTCTGATCTAATGATATTAGAGAGTGGTAGGCAAAGGTAAACAGAAAAAAGAGATAGGTAGAATAACTTATCCCCTTGAAAAATATAAAGCCTATGAAATTATGCCTAAAGAATATAGTCTTCAAACAGAAGTGATTGAAGGAGTGCTGATACCTCATAAAATTTGCTTCTATCAGTACATGAGATTGCTAAAACATTATAGATGTTCTTACTGTCCCCAAACAGGTAATCAGCTAGATCATTAAAACTCATAGTTGTAATGATTGTTCTTCTTGCTACATCGCTTATCTTAGTCATCAGTGGAAGTTGTGCCATCGAACTCCAATCTTCTAACACAATAACATCATGCCAGCCATTCTAAATCCATTGGAACAAAATAGAACGTGAATTAGATGAACATTAATTTAATAATTCAAATGAAATAAACAATAAAAGAATTGGCTGCAAGTTAATTTACCTTTGAAAAGATAACCATCTTTTGGCCTACAGAGCACTTAAATTTATAAAACCAAAGAGATATCCATGTATTTTTGGTACCAAGCATTTGGTGAAAGTCAAGAGTGCTTTCTTGTAGATGGCTGATTTCATCAGAGTATTGGCGTAGACCCGGTAATGTTGAAAAGGCAGCATCACTATCATCATAATACCAATATTCAAGAGGTAGATTATGGCTAAAATTGAATGAAGTCAAATTTGGAGCTTTAATATTAGTCATAATAAGATTAAAACATCTTATGAATAAAAGTTTCCTCAGCTTCTGACTTGAAATGCTTATCCCATAAAAATTCTTACATCTGTCAAGCACCAAAGACTCAACGTTTGAGCATCCAGAAAACATTTGGCTGAAGGTTTTGCCTCTCAAGCTGGAATTGCACAATGTTAATTCCCGTAAGGTTTCACAAGTTTGTGAGTCTATGCTCAAAGCTAAGTGAAATTCATCATGTTCTTCTCTCTTAATCTCGGTTAAGACAAGCTTTTCTAGACTTGGTGCTTGGATTTCAACACTCACAAGCATCTCACAAAAACCAATCTCAAGCCTTTCGAGGTGACAAAGACCAGATACCTTCAAATGCTCCAAACCATAGCATTTAACAAGTCTTAATTCCTTTATCAGAGAGAAACTAGTAAAGAACCAATTCATTGTACTTTCTGATCTTAACATTACCTTATCTAATATTAGAATTTGAAGGTTTGAAAGCTTTATATCCTTAGAGGAGACTCTGACTGTCAAACCACTTAACCTTAACATAGTTAAGGTCTCGACATAATAGATTCGATGAAAAAAACGGCTATCAATATCCCCAAATTCACCGTTTATGATTTGGAAATCGAACTCTTTGAGAGTGCTTGTCTTGGATACTAGTCTTACACACCTTTGAATCTCCTCTATGGCTTCTCGTACATACGTAAAATCCATGCATAGCTTGAACTTGAATATAACCAGACCTTCTTCCTGGATGCTCATGCTCCTCACTTTTTTCTGCATAATATTCTTGAACAGATCACATGGAACATGATTAAAGTCTTGCTGGTTGATATTCAAATAGGGATATGAAACAGAAAAGCTTTTCCATGGCTTGGATACACAGCTGGTTCGAGCAACATCTAGCATGGTAATTCGATCAAGAATATCATGAATGATGTGTTCGGGCAAGTTGGACATATAATCCTTCGCCATATGCTCCACCATGAGAAGTTTAGGGCACATAGATCCCTCAC